TTTCATATTTATTGTAGATTACATAAAGTGGGTTTCAAACCAGGACTTTTGCAACTGAACTTTACTCCATGATGAGGTGAATCTGATCATTGAAAGACTTTCACCAGGGGTTTTCTCCCACTGCAGGGGTTTTTAGAAAAACATGTATTTGTACAAGTTCTCTTAATTAACCAGTTTAACTGAATATATACTATAATATTCTTCAAATGTTTATTCCCTTCAACGAGTTAGAGTAGAAAAATGATACGACTCAGATCTCTAAGTTAAAAAATGAAGGGGCAGCAGAAGCTTTTTTAGTTTAGCTTAGCATAAAGAACAGCTCCGTACCAAGTAAAAAAAGTCGGGCAGAAAAAAACTATAAAAATAAGTTTTCAGAAGGAGAAGGCAAACAAGATATAATGTGTAAATAACTGAGCTTTCAGGCTGCTCTGAGGCAGACTTTGTTATCTTTGGTCAGGCTAGTTTGTTTTCCTCTTTTAAAACCTTACAGTTAATGAAAATGTTTATGAGAGCAATTCTATAATATGCAGAATAAATTAGATTAAAGTATCAAACTATATCTTTAACAAGGGTCCAAATGCTGGTCTATCCACAACGTCGGGTTAGTATTATTTCTTGGTCTTTTTTTTTCTTTATTGGGGAGGAGAGTGAGGTGATGATTTGGAAAAAGAGAAAGGGTTGGAATCAAACCTTGACCACTGTGGCGAGGTTTCAGCCTCTCTCATGGGACTCATGCTCTACCAGGTGAGCTACAGCATACCCCAAAGTTGTCACATTTTAAAATACTGATTAAGAAAGTATGTGAAAAACCAAATGTGATCTTTTACTGACACTATCTTCAGATCTGCAGAGGACCTGACCTCTGTGTCCTCACAGGTAGCTATACCGTGTTGATATCTGATTTGATGTTATGGAAGTCCTGTGTGCTGGGACTCAGCTGACCCTGCCAATGGTAATTTCCTGTCAGGGGAAATTGCCTCACAAGTTTTACCACAGTTGACAAATTAGAAAATTAAGCCACTTAAGCCACAAAAATTAGGAATCCTCTGAAAAAGTGTTTTTTCCTGTTATTTTAGTTGCCTGTGGTGACTGAACTCAAACAGATGGGATGAGAACTGTTTCTGTTCATCTCCGACACGTCCTCAGCCTCTAACACGGACAGAGCAGAGGCATTGTTCCCCATTTATCTCAGACAAAAAAAAAAGTGGAAGTAGGACCCTTTTCCCTTTTCACACTATAAATAAACACCACAGTAGCATCCATTATGAGGGATCGCAGCACGGAAAAAGACAGTCAGTGCAGGTCAGAGAGCAGAACAGACGGCTCAGCCGCCTCTTGTTCTGAGGCAGAAAAGACACCATTGAATAACAATATTTTAATAAACGCCCCCTTTCCCCGCTCTGTGGCTGCTGGCTAACACACATGAGGAGACTATTGAGAGCTGGAAAGAGGAGTAACAGAGGAGGGCCCCTCCTGGCCCGGCCGAGCCACCTTTCACTGCCTGCTTCCGCTGTGTTGAGAGGGGGATTCTGGGACTTTTTAGAAACCCCTGTTACCACTGAGGCCCGGCTGATCTCCTCCCACTATAAAGCCAGTGGAAGTTGGAGGGCCCTTGACAGGAAATTACCATCAAAAGAGTAAACCAGCATCAGGCGCTGCACAAGCTGCAACATTAGGAACGGCTTCTCTTCTTAATGTTTCTCTTTTCTCATATTTAAATCGTTCATTATTCCTTTTAAAGCAGTGGTTCCCAAAGTGGGGGTCGGGACCCCCTGGGGGGTCGCGATACTCCTTAAAAATGGTTTAAAATAGCATATTTCACCCATTAATTTGAAAATACAAACAAATATGATGGTGTTTCGGCTATTGTGTGGTGTCCAATGCCAGTGTTTGGAGAGGTCTAATAGTGTGCGTGGCTGTGCGCAATGTCAAATGTTCTAAGCACCTCATGGGACAATTGGGGTCCCCAGTCTCTTGCGCAATTAAATTGGGGGTCACAGGCTGAAAAGTTTGGGAACCCCTGCTTTAAAGGACAGGTCAGGGGTTAAAAGGCTGATTTGAAGGTATCCTCATCCATATATGTATCATCTACATGTTTATGTAGATATTATATTTTGACACACGAGACATTCTCCTTCTACTTCTTACAATGTCAACTGCCAACAAAACAGTTTAACACTGCTCTGTATAGTGGACACACTCTTTAGTTACAGTTACACACACACACACACACACACACACACACACACACACAGACACACACACACACACACACACACACACACACACACACACACGTGGTTACTTAAACACACATGATTGTAACAAAGCATCAACTACATTTGTTTTTTCCACTTATGTGACACTGAATTGATCCTCCCTCATGACGGACATCAGCTGCTTTCACTTATCAATTTTGTACTTTTGTCAAGTGAAGTTTGAGAAACTTGAACTTTATTTATGGAATTTGACACGGCCTCAAAAAATATACTTCACTGTACCACAGAAAACTTCTAAACTTTCTGTAAAGGTTTCTGTAAAACTTCAACCTAAAGTCAAACTCGGGACGTTATAGATTTCTAATAAAAACCCAAACCGACATCGACTTTAGCTTAAGTTCTCTAAATGTTCTGACTTCAGGTTATCTATCATTTTGATGTCTTGATATGATTTTATTTAAAATATCTTCCTCAACATTGACATTAATTGCACCTTTCAACATTTAGCTCTTCGGTGAGGAGGACTGACCTGTGCGGATGAGCGGTGGTAGGCCGAGTAGTGGAGGGGCGGTGGGATCGTTGACTCGTGGGTCAGACTTGGATACTGGCTCTGGATGGAGTGAGGATGCTGGTTGGTGTAGCTGCCGTAGTTGTAGCTACCTGTGTACCTGAAGAGAGGAGGAAAGTCAAAACACATTCATAAAGTTGTCCAACCAGTTTCCAAAATGTCTTGATTGAAATCCTGAAATGATAATTACCCATGCTCCTCTCTGTGCGTGTAGACGGGCATCCTGTGGGCGGAGGAGGGAGGGGGCACTGGAGCGCTGTTCCTCATACAGGACAGCTGCTGGCCGGCCTCTGGAGCGGAGCCGCCTGCTGTTGTCACTGTGTATGTAAGGGACCAGGTATATGACTGAACAGCGCCTGGCAGACACATGTACACACACAGAGACACACACGTGTTGGCCCAGAGGAGCTACGTGCTTCTATTTGTTTGAAGGTATCTGAAATGTGACTGTGAGGCCCTGCTCACCTGTGGTGGTCGGGGTGACTCCGTTGTACTCGGGGGACACGGCTGCTGTGGGGGAACTGGCCGAGGAAACGCCAACAGAGTGGACTGAGCGGGCGGGAGAGAAGGACGCCGGAGACGGGGAGGCCGGGGTGTTCTCTGTCGACGGGAATTCCTCCTCTCTCTCTGCTGAAACGTTTCAGAAGAACAGAAGAGTCATCACAACGTTTTGGGTCAGGAGGCAAACAAACAAAATGAACATCGGGACTTGAGCCGGCGACCCTCCGATTTCCAACCCAAGTCCCTACAGACTGAGCTACTGCCGCCCCAATACCAGTGGAATCAAGAAAAGCAGAAGTGGACTGTGAATGTCTCTCTTTTCATCTTCATATATATATGAAGATGAAAAGCTCTCGATCTCAACAAGAGATCGAGAGCTTTTCAGCGATATCTTTTATTATAAAGGGATGTAATGTTCTACTGTTTTTATAAAGATTTGGATAGGTTTCTGCATTTTGATGTACGGCAGGTAAACATCACATTTATACCGCACTGGTTAAAGGTTTTATATGCGATTTTTTGATCCAGCAGATGTCGCCCTTGAGCACCAGCATGAAACCAAAACAACTCGCGCTGCATTGTTGTGTTAGCATGCTAATGCTAGCGATCTTTATTATGCTGGTATCTTCACACTGCATGTAAATTTACCTGAAATGAGCGTGATCTAGAAACACAGTTAAGCAGTGAGTACAGTATGTTATTCTTCTTTTCTCTAGTCCCTCAATTAAACAACTTTTATACACGAGGGGAGGAGTCAGCCGGCCGTCCTGGCGATGTAAACAAAGTGAAGATAGGACTCTGAAAACTCTGAAAACATCACAGACAGTGGGACTCGGGTGTTACACCCATTGTAGACAGTCATGACTCACAGAGTTATTTTCAGAGGATATACTTGATTTATATTATATTTAAGTGTGAAAAATCACATATAAAGCCTTTAAGAGAGAAACTCATGTCAGTCTCCATGTGCTGTAATCTTACAATCACAGAATATCTCATGTTTTCAGATTTGTTTTCTTGCTGATGAATCAATATTTTGCCCTAAACATGGTGTGCCTCATGACTCTGGAAAGAAAGTTATTGTTTGTTCTTGGTTTAGTTTCTTGAGAGTGGGATGACTTGTCAAGTCCAACATGATGCCGTCTCAACCGACCAAGTCCAAGAAGTAAACAGTTTAGATGAAAAGACACCACTGGATGTTTTTCAATTCAGCTCCAAAAAGCAGTTAAGAACTATTAAAACAAATGATAAAACATCGTTCTATCATCACTGACACTTTTCATATGTAACAACTTCATTTCTGCACAAGATGTTTTTGCAGCTTCTCCATCATCGCAAACAATTCGATCGACCTCCTCCAGGTAGTGGTCTCTCACCTGTGCTGCCTTCCCCCCTTCATGGCCCTCATGAGCTCATTGGCCCTCTCCTGGCAGTGCAGGGACTCCAGCAGGTAGAGCACGTAATCATCAAACATGAGGTGGATCAGGTGGAAGGACCCTGCATGCAGACAGACATGAAGACATGTTATTTTAGAAACAAAGTGACAAATTCAAAAGGTTGAAAAAACAAACAAAAAGGATATAGACGGGGCGCTGGTGGCGCAGCGGCGGCCCAGGTTCGAATCCCACCTGTGGCTCCTTTCCCGCATGTCATTCCACTCTCTCTCTCTCCATGATTTCTGACTCTATCCACTGTCCTATCTCCATTAAAGGCTCAAAAAGCCCAAAAATAAATCTTAAAAAAAAATAAAAGGACATAGATGATGACGATCTGGAGAGTTTCTAAAAGCATCTGAGTGATGACATCATATCCTGCAGGCTGACAGGACGGCAGCTGTTATTAGAAAAAAGGACCAAGAGTAATTTTTCCGTGTGCAGAGTCAGTGCCAGAAGTATATCCGCTGACCCCGGGGGTCACGCAGAAGATGGGACCTTGGCATGTGAGGCGGCGTCACAATTGTGGCCATTGTGCCGACTGCTGCCGCCGCCGTGCGCATAATAAACACTTGTGGCTATTCAGGGGGAGTACGGGGGGAGGGGGGGGGGGGGGGCAGGGGCGTATTACTGACCAGTCATAAAATGTAAAAAAAAAAAAAAGACAGGCAAACACGTCGGGAGAGGGGAGGAGCAGCTTTTGTTAATTAGTTGTTTGTGCACAGAGACCTGCTTTATCAAAACACCGCAACCAGCTGTGTCTTTGAGATTCACAGACACAGACACAAGGAGAGGAAAGAGAAGCCATTTTCTTTCTTTTCTTTCTTTACAACTCTTCACTTATTGCTAACCTCTGTCATGCACAACAAGCTGTTACAGCAGCCATTTTACTTTCACTCCTCTCTTCCTTTACTTCTTCTTTTGGACTTTAATTTCATACTTTAGAGGAATCTTTAGAAAATGAAGCTTTTTGTGTTGAATCAGTTTACCAGTGTGCACCAGCTTCTTCTTTTTTTTCAGGGACGCCCCTTGAGAACTTTTTAAGAGTTGGGGATTTGTAATTTTTTTAAATTTTATTTCTAAAACAAGTTATAAGAAAATATTCATGCTGCTCAGCTCAGGTTGTTTCTTATGCATAAGAAACGTTGGTCCATTGATGTTCAATCACCAAGATTTCAAACTGCTAAATTCTGCCTTGCCATTCTCTGCACATACTGTCTCAATTCCATGCAGTTGACTTCATCATTCATTCATTTTGTACTTTTATTTATCTTACCTAATCTATTACGTTTAATGTGTATTTTGTATGATCTTTCTTGTCTGTGCTGCTGCAACGCCCGAGTTTCCCCTCTGGGGATCAATAAAGTACTATCCTATCCTATCCTATTCATATCCTCTTTGTAAACGCCTTCAGTTTTTGCTGTGTGTTGCATTGAGGAAGGATGACAAAGCATGAAGCAGCTCACCGAAGCTGGGCGCGCTGTGGAGGGTCATATCCCGGATGACTCTGGTACCAAAACACGACCACATCAGCAGGAACTGTTGGGCCACCTTCTTCAGACACCCGGGCCTCTTCCCTGCCACCTAGAGAGAGAACATTTCCATGAGAAAAGAGTCGGGGGGGAAGGGGAAGGGGTCGGGAAAACCGGGTAGAATTAACCCCTGGGTCCACATTTGGGGCTTAACCCCGCAGGAACGCAAAACATGTCAACAAGTCAACTATTTAATTTGCCCCTCGGGGACACGCCTTCACCATTGAACTATTGTCTGGCCAGTTCCAAGACGTTGCCGGGGCAACCAAATTTTACAAGCCAATATCTGGCACATAATGGGACGCAAATGGGAAGCTTGAAGACATCATTAACTGGGGAGGATCGCGACGTAAAGAGGGCACAGAGCGGAGTGGCCTGCACCAGCAGTTGTCTCCCGAGGGGCAAAAATAATCAAACCTGTGCGGCACAAACACTCCAAACGTTTAATAAAAACCGCTGCCTATAATCACATTAATATATACAACAGCATCTGAAGAACCTGAACTTTTACTTTTGCAAATGTTGAGTCTGACCAATGATTGAAAAGTTGCTCACTGACCTTGACGACACAGCGGTCCACCATCGAGTCCAACCACTCGATGTACGCCTCGATGGGAGACTGCTCCTCCAGCAGACGGTCAAACTCTTGATATACTGTTGACGGCAGAGGGGAACAGGTCCTGGTCAATTTTTGCAAACTTCATATTAAAACATCAACTTCTCCATATCAGTGACCTGTGATCCCTTCAGGAGTGAAGCTGGGGGGTGAATCAGAGATGCTCCACAGGGTGTTTTTAGTCTAAAGTGAACGTGTTTAACCTTTCTGATCTTCATCATTGACTCGACCGGTCGTGGGAATTACTGTCTCTCTCTGTGTGCATGAAGTAGAGTGCATTTCTCCGTCTGTTCGAGTAGAATCAGCCTGAATGTTTCTGACTTACAGTGGATGATAAGCTGCCTGAATGTTTCTGACTTACAGTGGATGATAAGCTGCCTGTTCTCCTCTTGTGAGTCCTCCACTTTAAAATTCATACTTTAGAGGAATCCTTAAAAAATGAAGCTTGTTTGTGTTGAATCAGTTTACCAGTGTGCACCAGCCTTGGCTGTCAAGGAGGTTAGTGGAAATAAATGAGGTGATTTTCTTCTTTTTTTTCAGGGAAAGCCTTGAGAACTTGGGGAGTTGGGGATTTGTAATTTTTTTAAATTGTATTTCTAAAACAAGTTATAAGAAAATATTCATGCTGCTCAGCTCAGGTTGTTTTTTTATGCATAAGAAACGTTGGTCCAGTGGTGTTCAATCATCGAGATTTCAAACATTTTGAAGCGGGGGAGGGGGGGGTGAATCAGAGATGCTCCACAGGGTGTTTTTAGTCCAAAGTGAACGTGTTTAACCTTTTGATCTTCATCTTTGACTCGACCGGTCGTGGGAATTACTGTCTCTCTGTGTGTTGTTTCTTAAGAAGTAGAGAGCATTTCTCCGTCTGTTTGCTGCTTGTGTTTGAGTAGAATGAATGTTTCTGACTTACAGTGGATGATAAGCTGCCTGTGCTCCTCTTGTGAGTCCTCCATGGTGTAAAGTGTCTGCTTGGTGATGCTGTTCAAGTCCACATTCCTCCAGTCCTCCAGCATTTGAAAGGTGATGTCAGCACTGTTTATCACCGTCCGTGATGCCTGGGGAAAGATAAATCAACAATATTATTACTCACACAAGCATATACCCATGTTCCTTATCTGCTGTGTTTGTTCATATGGATTTTTATTATTAAAAATAAAAAAACATTGGGTACAGAACACGAACCTGACAGAGGTGGTTTAATGAAGTTTGCCGCTTGAGAATCTGAGAAAATCTCCTGGACACTGAAAACAATAAAAAAAAAAGAGAAACATATTCAAACTTTCTGTGAAAAAAAAAAAAAACATGAGATGGGATGAGAGGGGGATTGAATACGTACGTTCAAATTTGATGTTCCTCAGGTTTTCAGGGAGGTCGTGAAGTGCTATTTTTAGCCACTCATCGAGCTGTTTGGCAAATTTTCGGATAACCTGAGTCAAACTGTTTGTGTGGAGGAAAAAAAACAGGAACAATATTTGTTTATCACATTAATGTTATTATTTCCTTTTTTTTTTTCAAACAAAAATCTTATCCTGCTTTCTTTAAACAACCAAAATGTATCACTCATTTAGAATCTTTGCTGTGTGAAATGTAAACACAGGCTGTTTCAGCAGTGAGAGGTTTCAGGTATTACACGTAAAGTCGATGGAAATATTCAGTTGTGTTGTTAAAGGTCTTGTTCTTTTTTGTAGCTCATAAAGAGACATGAGTTTTAACATCAGTCTGTTCAACTTCCTCACAGGAGCGTCGAGTAATTTCAATCATCATATGATTAATAAGAACAAAAAAAGTCTGCTTAACTCACTGAACTAAATGATAAACCTAGACTACAGTGTTAATGAAGAAGCTTGAACGCTCACTCAAAATGAACGCAAACTAACCTTTTTTTTTTAATCCAACCCACAAAACACAAAAAAATAATCAAACTTCTGCTGCACAAGTCCTTCAAACAATGACCCAAACCTCTGCCTAGAATCTAACAAACATCATCTGAGGATTTCCTATATGCTGAATCAGACGAGGTGTTAACACACCAGCCTATCCAGTTTTAGTGACATCACATTTTCTCTTTTGAAGGTTTACAACACGTGCTCACCTATCAGGCAGTGCTTGCAGGACGGTGGGCATCAGCACCCCAGAGATGGCCTTGTAGAGGATGGAGTCACAAACACCCACTATGTTCACTACTGTGGCCGAGCCGAGGACGGGGAGCATGTGGGGGGGCATGCCCTGCCAGAAGTGCAGCAAGAAGCTCTGCACCTGAATGCACCACACACACACACACAACAATGTTCAATATTACAAGAATTAAACATTTCAGCTGCAGGAATTAGGTACGTGCAAAGTTTTTTGTTGAGATAGATTCTGGTTTTTGGCTGAAACCGACTTTAATGTGTAAAAAATGTTTAGATCAAAAAGAAAGCTTGCCTCATCAAAGTTGGCTCTTATAACAGTGTCCAGTATCCTCTGACAGTGCGTTCTGTACATCATGATGAAAGTCGACACCTGTGGATAACAGCAGAGTTTTTAAATGTTGCATCACAAACTTCGATGTGTTTTTTTTCTTATTTGGAAAACTAAAAAAAAAAAAAGTGGTGGAAAAACAAGAAAATAAATCTTGTGCAAAGCATGTGAAGCAATAAATACATGTAACAGGTCTAGGCTGGAGCTGGAGTACTATAAAGCATGCTTTAGAGATCAGCAGAACACAAACCATTTAAAATCATGGCCCTCTTTAAAAGCCGGACAGCTAGTGCCTGTCCTTTGTCCAGTGCTAGATCTTATTATCTCCCCCAAAAGATTAAGAGTTAGTGAGGAGCCAGCATATAAATCCTCAAGGTCCTTCTCTAAATGCAAACCCCAGAGAAGGTCCCGGGGCAGATAAAAGGCTGGAGCCGGAGGGGGGCTGAAGATGGTGAGATGGTTTAGTAGAGGTAGGAGCAGGGAGGGGTTGTAAAGGATGGACTTTTTAAAACTTCTGTTTACCCTCTCTTCTGGCAGGCTGGCAGGCAAATTTAGGTCTTTGACATTTGGAAACTCTGGCAGGAGCGTCCCCAGTTTGGAGCGTGGTGAATACGCCACTGTCTGCTTGGTGACCTCTTTCTTCCCCGTCTCGTTCACCCACGCCGCTCCCTTTTTGGAGTACATCACGTCATAGTACTGAGAGGTCTCTTTAACCGCTATGCCGTAGTAATGGTACCTGAGGTGGAACGAGAGAATGGCATCGTGTAAAGGACAAGAAGGACCATCTAGAGACGATGGAAAACTGTGAACTAAGACATTTAAATTAAAAAAATTAAAAAATTAAAAAAGCAAAAAAATTCAGCATTATTTCATTTTTTTAAAATGTTTTTTAAGAAATACATTCACGAGGAGACTGAACACTACAAAGGATGAGCGAAATCTGATCCACGATCCATGACTTTACTTTCTTTGGACTCGTTTGCCTGGATGACTGGTCCGGACTCAAAACAAACAAAACTGGAAGGACATTTGTTTTTATTTTCTACTAATGTTGCTGTGCTGGTGTATTTACCTGTCCGCTCCAAATAAAGATACAATTTAAAAAAAATAAAAATAAAATAAAAATAAAAATAAAAATAAAAAATAAAAACACTGAATTGATTATAAATCTGTTGGTTTAAATTAAAATGGTCTCAAATTATATTTTATTTTAAACTTTTGTTTTTTTTTAAATCTCATCAAAATGTCCACATAGCCGAACATTTCAGATTTTTCAAATATAAAATGTATCAGGATAAAAAAGTACAGATTCTTTTGTAGAATTGGTTGATAAACTTGAACAAATATGGAACTTTGGTATTTTAACATGTGTTATGTTTCTGCATGTTTAGTTTTGTCTGTAGGGTTTGTGAGTATTTGGAGAAGTGTGTGATTTAGTTTATGAGAAAACCTCTTACTTAGACTGCCCTCTGGTCCCCAGTCTTCTGGTAGTTAACGCTGGAAACTGTTGTCTTATGATCTATTCATTAGAGGAGAAGAAGAAGAAGAAGTCATCAGCGGGCTGTTTGTTACTACAAAAAATACTTTTTTTTTTCACTGTCAACCTAA